ATATCAGTTATCCTGATATATACTAACACGCCTGCAAATTGATGGGCAACATGCAAATCATTAGTTTGGACCTCAAGAGTTGAAACTATGAGGCTGTATGCCCTTTAGTAAACACATCATCAACTTGATCTTAAGTAGAAATATAACAAATATGAACATCTTTGTTCTCAACCTTTTCTCTAACAAAATGATAATCGACTTCAATAAGTTTGTCCTAGCACGAAAAACTAGGTTTGAAGCTAAAGCAATTGCATATATATCGTCACACCAAATCACAAGACATTTAGGAAGAGAAATCCCCAATTATGTAAAAGCATATGTATCCAATAGAGTTCAGAAGTTGCCAGAGCCAGTAATTGATATTCAGCTTCTGTAATGGAACAAGATATGAGATTTTACTGTAAGATTTTAATCTAGTTTTGAAAGGAACTAATAATCCAAAATACAATCCTTTCACATAATTAATCCATGTTGAAATCAAAGAGAACATAATGAAAGCGAAAGCGTACCTTGATCCATACATTATAATTGATTTTGTTCATGTTATGATCTTCCAACTGTTACATGATTTTCTTTGAAATTCTTGAAAAACTCTCTGTTGATGGGGATGCAGAGAGTCTGGAAAAATTTGTCATGCAATTGGGGACCATGACCCCATGATAAATAACTGCAGATAGTTATCATTTTTTATTTGTTTTAAATTGATCCCTCATCAATTTAAAACAACCAACCCGTCTCTGCACTTTAATCTCATAACACTTAATATCAATAAGTCCGAAATTAAACCCGATGGATCACTTTAATGGATTAAAAACTTTAAGATAGCAACACACATTTTAATTTATATACATGTGTAGCCCCATATATGTTGGAATCTTCCAACAATCTCCCACTGGGCCATACATGTAATCTTTTAAATGTGCACAACATTATGAGCTCAAAATTTGCTATTATTATTAGGGCATTTCCAAACAATCTCATCCATTAGTCATATTGATGTAGGATCAAAATGATTTTCGTCACATTTAGCATGACTAAATCCATCAATGGTCAGGTACACTCATACAACCAAAAGACATAGATCAATCATGGGAGCGTAGCATGGAAATTACATGTTATATGATCCAAACATGTCTATTTTCAATTGGTCCAACCTTATTTCTTAAGTGAGATCAATACTGAATATAATAACAAAGTGAAATGAACTGAATATTATATTTCTGTACATAAAAAATATTCAAATACACAAATGTGTCCAATTAAATGTAAAGCAATAAGAATACAAACTCCCACTAAAACACGATATCCTCAATAAATCTGACACCCATACAAGCAGTGTGCTCATGAAAGACCTTAGGTGGCAATCCCTTAGTAAGCGAATTCGCAATCATGGAGTTCGTCTCAATGTACTCTATGAAATTTTGTCCACTCTGTACTTTTTCCTTCACAACCAGGAATTTAATGTCAATGTGTTTTGACATAGATGTGCTCCAGTTATTGTTGGAATACAAAACTACCAAGTTATTGTCACAATATAACTTTAGTGGTCTTTTTATGCCGTTTAGAATGCGCAGCCCAGTGACAAAGTTTCGCAGCCATATTCCTTGGTTGGATGTCTCATAGCATGCTACAAACTATGCTGTCATGGTAGAAGAAGCTATGAGTGTCTGCTTTGTACTCTTTCAGGAAATAGCTCCTCCGGCTAGCAGATAGATATTACATGATGTGGATCTCATGTTGTCTTGGCATCCAGCAAAATCAGAATCGGAGTACCCTATGATCTCCAACTAATCCGATTTGTTATATGTGAGCATATAATCCTTTGCTCTCTTTAAATACCTCATAACTCTTTCGGCTGCTTTTCAATGATCCATTCCAGGGTTGCTTAAATATATGCCTAGCATTCCAACAATGAATATTATGTCTAGATGTGTACAAACTTGAGCATACATTAGACTCCCAATAGCTGATGCATAGGGGATCTTCTGCATTTCCTTAACTTCAAGGTCATTATGCGGGCATTGTTTGAGACTAAATTTGTCTCCCTTAGCGACAGGGGTGTCACCCAGTTTGCAGTCTTGCATGCCAAACCTCTTAAATACTTTATTGATATAGCTCTTTTGTGACAATCCAAAAATACCTTGAGAGCGATCCCGGTGCATCTGAATCCCTAATACAAAAGAAGCGTCACCAAGATCTTTCATCTCAAAATTCTTTGATAAAAATCTCTTGATTTCGTGCAACATGCCTACATCATTAGTGGGAAGCAGTGTGTCATCAACATACAAAATCAGGAAAATATGCTTACTCCTACTGAACTTGTGGTACACACAATCATCAACAGTATTCATCTCAAAAGCAAATGAGATAATTACTTGATGAAATTTGTAGTACCATTGACGGGAAGCTTACTTGAGCCCATAAATGGATTTCTTTAATTTGCAAACCGTATTCTTCGGGTATCCTGACACAAATTTTTCTGATTGCACCACATATATCGTCTCATCAATGTCGCCATTGAGAAACACAGTCTTAACATTCATCTGATGTAACTCAAGGTCAAAATGTGCAACAAGTGTCATAATTATCCTGAAAGAGTCTTTCATTGAAACTGGAGAGAAAGTCTCTTTGAAGTCGATACCTTCCTTTTGGGTAAAGCCTTTAGCCACAAGACGAGCCTTATATCTTCCCACATTACCTTTCGAATCCCTTTTGATTTTAAAAATCCATTTGCAACCGATGGGCTTCGCACCTTCTGGTAACGGGACAAGATCCTAAACCTTATTGTCTTGCATAGACTTATACTCCTCATTCATGGCATCATTCCACTATTGAGAATTAGAACCCTACATGTCCTGATGGAAATGATTGGATCATCTTCCATCATTCCATTATTTTCCTCATATTCTTGGAGAAATACTATAAAATCATTCGAAATAGCATTTTTCCTTTCTCTCGTGGATCTCCTTAATGGCATTGGTTCTTGAGGTTGTTGAGTTTGTACTTTTGGAATAATTACCTCATTTTGGTTGGGAAGTTCTTTAACATTGTCTTGTTGAGATTCTGGATATATTTCTTGACCAATGACAGGTATAGAAACCTGTACATTGTCAAAAGCAGTAGTAGGAATCGAAACCGATCCTTCCTCAACTTCTTCCTCAAAGACAATGTCTCTAACCTTATTTCTCCCCCAAACCCAATATCCTTAAAAAATGTTGCAGTTCCCATTTCAAAAATTGACTTAAGTGTGGGATCATAAAATTTGTAGCCCCTAGATCGCTTAGAATAGCCAATAAAGTAGCTGCTTACTGTTTTAGTGTCCAATTTCTTTTCATGTGGCCTATAAGGCCTAGCCTCAGCTGGACATCCCCAAATGTGAAAATGCTTTAGACTAGGCTTTCTGCCTATCCAAAGCTCATAAGGTGGTTTAGCAGCAGCCTTAGTATGTACTCTGTTTAGAATATTAGCTGGAGTCTAGTGCCTCTCCCCAGAGTGATTTTGGTAAGGTGGAATGATTAATCATACTCCTTACCATGTCCTTAAGAGTACTGTTTCGTCTTTCAACTACACCATTCATGCTAGGCGATCCTAGCATGGTGTATTGTGGGACGATTCCACATTCCTCTAGGTATTTAAAAAATGGTCCCAGACATTGTTCACCTAAACCGTCATATCTGCCGTAGTACTCACCACCACGGTCAGACCTAACGCTCTTTATCATTTTGTTGAGTTGATTCTCAACTTCAGTCCTAAAAATTTTGAACATGTCCATTGACTCGAATTTTTCGTGAATAAGATATAGGTATCCATAACGTGAGTAATCATCTATGAATGATATAAAATATTGTTGACCATTCCAAGAAGCCGTAGAAAATGGTCCACAAATATCTGTATGTATCAATTCTAAGACATTCGAAGTTCTGTTAGCACATAATCTCCTTGTTTTGGTCTATTTTCCCTTGATACAATCAATACATACATCAAAATTCATAAAGTCAAGGAAATCCAAAATATCATCTTATACAAGTCATTCAACTCTAGCTTTTGATTTGTGACCTAAGCGTTTGTGCCATAATTTTGCTGAATTTTCTTTATTTAATTTGCGTTTAGTACCACGTGATTCCATATGCAAGATTTTATTATATGATGCAATAATATCAAGCAAATATAGGTTATCATATGTAGATAATGAACCAATACCAATAACATTTGAATTTAACAAAAGACTAAACTGATTGTTTCCAAATGAACAACAATATCCAAATTTATCCAATGAAGAAACAGAAATTGAATTCCGTCTAAAAGACGGTACAATGAAAGTATCTTTCAAATCCAAATAATAACCAGTTCTTAATAACAAACTAAAAGTGCCTATTACATCAACTTCCACTGATTTTTCATCACCCACATAGATGTATCTTTCATCATCATTTGGCTTTCGATAGTTCAGGCAGCCCTGCATAGAAACACTTATATGAGTAGTAGCACCAGAATCTATCCACCAAGTGTTTCTAGGTACTGAAACTAAATTATCCTCAGAATAGACCAAAGTAAGAATTGTACCTTTCTTTGCATGCCAATCGCAATATTTGGTACAGTCTTTCTTCACATGTCCAGCCTTGTCACAAAAGAAACAAGTTCCTTTGTCTTCCTTATGTATCTTTTGTACTCGACCCTTATGTATTGGACCCTTATGAGCAGCTTCATATTCATTCTTCCTTTTCTTGCCCTTATCCTTAGAAGTGCTTGCCAAGTGTGCACTTTCAGTTCTTTCTTGCTTCAACCTTTCTTCCTCTTGCACACAATATGAAATGAGCTCATTTAGAGACCATTTCTCCTACTGGTAGTTATAACTTACCTTAAATTGACTAAATTGTGCAGGAAGTGAGATTAATACCAAATGTATGAGCAAGTCATCTGACAGCTTGAGCTTTAGTCCCTTAAGTTTTGAAGTAATGTGAGACATCTTCATGATGTACTCCCTTATGTCCCCCTTGCTTTTATAATTCATTGAAATTAAGCTCTGCAAAAGGGGTGCTTGTTTCAGCCTTATCGTTTTTCGCAAAACGCTTCTCAATTTCGACAAGGAACTCCTTGGCATTAGATACCTTTTCGGTATCTGCACCTCTAAAGGCTTCGGGAATGCGACGCTTAATGATCATTAGACTCATGCGATTTGAACGAGCCCACTTCTCAAAGTTCCTTTTATCATCAGGTGAACTTTCTTTCCTAAGAGGTGTGGGTTGCTCAATCCAAAGTGCAAAGTCTAGATCCATGCAGCAAAAAATAATCAATATGTTCTCCTTCCAACCCTTGAAGTTTTTCCCATTAAGCATAGAAATAGAGTTAATATTGACAGATATAGTAGCAAATGAGCTAGCTGCAGAGAGAACAAAATGAAATAAAATTAATCAATTATGCTCATTCGAATATCCACATTTAATTATTAATAAATTCAAATAATGGTAAGTCCCATCTCAAGATACCTAGTGCACCATCAATATCAAGTCTTTGGACGGTAATTTTAATTGCAAGTGGTACTCTCAGCGTAGTGATCAAACATTGACAAAAATTCCTGTCAAATAATAAACCCATCTTTGGATTAATTTATTATTCACATGGAAACCTGATAATTGTCACATATTTACCATCACAAGTGTGTATGCAATTCGTCCAAATATTAACCCTCCTTTGGGCCGGATAGTACCCGCATGAACTAACACACACACAACATCTAAGCATCCCAAATAAACCAATCTACACAAGAGATGTCACTTTGGTGACATATTGCTTCAATTGGTTTATTTAAAATACTAAACAACCTTAATTTATTATAAATGATTTCCCAAAATATTTGAATTAAATTTCCTACATAATTAAACCTTAATTAGTACCTCTCAAAGGAGTATTAGTACCAAAATTTGAGAAAGAGAATCGCCAATTTGCATCAATAGATATCTTTGGAAACTTTAGGGACCTAAGGGTTAATAATTCAATACTTCAGGGGTTGAAATTTGAAAATTTTGAAACTTTGGGGGCCAATTTAAATTAATTGTGAACATGAGAGTTTTAATGGCAAAATTCAGAAGTTAAATGGCCCAAATTAAATAATTTTCGAACTTAGGGGGTTGAATTATTAAACCTAGAACTTAAAAGGCCCAATTGCATAAGCTTTAAACCTCAGGGGATTATTCCTTAAATATTTAGCCCTAATGTGAAATTGCAAGTAGGGACCTGAAAAAAATCCATCCTTAAAAAAAATCAGAAACCGCACGCCGACATCAGTTACATTCTGAATCCAATTTCATGTCAACAGGCTGCCGAAATAATATTGCTAAACTAATGGAATTAGTTAATTTATTCAGATTCATGTGGAATTCATGACAAATCCTGGAAACTTTTATCACTTTAACACATCAAAAGTATCAACTATAAAGCTTACACAGAAGCATTTGTCATTATAATTATCCACAATTGGAATATGGAAAACTCAGTGGATTCACGGAACTGGCCACCACTATTATATTCAAAAGTTTTAAATTCTCACATGTAACAGATCGGATCAGTTGGAGATCATAGGGTACTTTGATTCTGATTTTGCTGGATGCCAAGACAGCAGGAGATCCACATCAGGTAATATCCATCTGCTAGCTAGAGGAGCTATTTCCTATAAGAGTGCCAAGCAGACACTCATAGCTTCTTCTACCATGGCAGCACTCTACCCCCACCCCAAAATCCACCTGAAAAAAAATCTGAAACCGCACGCCGACATGAGTTACATTCTGAATCCAATTTCATGTCAACAGGCTGCCGAAATAATATTGCTAAACTAATGGAATTAGTTAATTCATTCAGATTCGTGTGGAATTCATGACAGATCCCGAAAACTTTTATCACTTTAACACATCAAAAGTATCAACTATAAAGCCTTACACAGAAACATTTGTCATTATAATTATCCACAATTGGAATCTGGATAAGTCAGTGGATTCATGGAACTGGCCACCATTATTATATTCAAAAGTTTTAAATTCTCACATGTGACAGATCGGATCAGTTGGAGATCATAGGGTGCTCCGATTATGATTTTGCTGGATGTCAAGATAGCAGGAGATCCACATCAGGTAATATCTATCTGCTAGTTGGAGGAGCTATTTCCTGGAAGAGTGCCAAGCAGACACTCATAGCTTCCTCTACCGTGGTAATACTTGGCCCCCACCCCAAAATCCATCCTAAAAAAAAATCTAAAACCGCACGCCGGCATCAGTTACATGTTGAATCCCATTTCATGTCAACATGCTGCCGAAATAATATTGCTAAACTAATGGAATTAGTTAATTTATTCAGATTCATGAGGAATTCATGACAGATCCCGAAAACTTTTATCACTTTAACACGTCAAAAATGTCAACTATAAAGCCTTACACAGAAACATTTGTCATTATAATTATCCACAATTGGAATCTAGAAAAGTCAGTGGATTCACGGAACTGGCCACCACTATTATATTCAAAAGTTTTAAATTCTCACATGGCAGCTGTAATAATCTGACTTTGGATCCAATTATGCCACCAAAATCTTGATCCATTAATTAAACAAATGGGCAAAATAAAATCGGCAGAATTAAATAGCCGGATATAAGTTTGACATTTTGATTGCATCAATAATTTTCCAACTTGATCTTGATCCATATAAACATGTCAGAATCCATATAATAACATGAAAGAAGATCACATATCAAAAGCTAGAGTTAAACGACTTGTGTTGGTATTTTGGATTTCCTTAACTTTACGAATTTTGATGTATGTATTGATTATATCAAGGGAAAATAGACCAAAACAAGGAGATTATGTGCTAACAGAACTTTGGATGTCTTAGAATTGATACACACAGATATTTGTGGACCGTTCCCTACGGCTTCCTGGAATGGTTAACAAAATGGGTACCTATATCTTTTTCATGAAAAATCCGAGTCACTGGACATGTTCAAAATTTTTAAAACTGAAGTTGAGAATCAACTCAACAAAATGATAAAGAGCGTTAGGTCTAATTGTGGTGGTGAGTACTACGACGGATATGACGGTTCAGGTAAACAATGTCCGGGACCATTTACCAAATATCTAGAGGAATGTGGAATCGTCCCACAATACACCATGCCAAGATCGCCTAGCATGAATGGTGTAGCTGAAAGACGAAACAGGACTTTTAAGGACATGGTAATGAGTATGATTAGTCATTCCACCTTACTAAAATCACTCTGGGGAGAGGCATTAAAGACTGTAGCTTATATTCTAAACAGAGTACCAACTAAGGCTGCTGCTAAAACACTTTATGAGGTTTGAGCACGCAGAAAACCTAGTTTAAAACATTTTTACATTTGGGGATGTCCAGCCGAGACTAGGCCTTATAGGCCACATGAAAAGAAATTGGACTCCAAAACAGTAAGCAGCTACTTTATTGGCTATTATGAGCGATCTAGGGGCTACAAATTTTATGATCCCATACTTAAGTCAATTTTTGAAACGGGAACTACAACATTTTTTGAGGATATTGAGTTTGGGGGAAAAATAAGGTTAGAGCATTGTCTTTGAGGAAGAAGTTGAGGAAGGATCGATTTTGATTCCTACTACTGCTTTTGACAATGTACAGGTTTCTATACCTGTCATTGGTCAAGAAGTATATCCAGAACCTCAGCAAGACAATGTTGAAGAACTTTCCAACCAAAATGAGGTAATATTCCAGAAGTGCAAACTCAACAACCTCAAATTATATTGTGACAATAACTTAGCAGTTTTGTATTCCAACAACGACAGGAGCACATCTAAGTCAAAACACATTGACATTAAATTCCTGGTTGTGGCCCCATATATGTTAAAATTTTCCAACATTTACTTTTTCTCCACGGAACCAAGTTTTTGCCTAGAAAAATGTCATACCTATTGTTGATGTGTCTGACATCAGGATTTACGTCTAGTCTAAGTCACTTAAAGCATTTAGATCTATCATTGCGGGAGTGTAATAGAGACCATAGTCAATGTCTGTTTTAGATATCGAAGAACGTGTTTAAGAGCTGTCCAATGTCCTTCGTGTGGATAATGCTTAAGTGATATAGTTGGCTAACATCATAAGAGATATCTGATCTTGTACTAATACAATATTGAAGTGCACCAATGATTATTCTGTATTCAATGGGATTTGATAGTAAAGAACCATCTTGGGACAACAATTTTCGACCAGTTACCATAGGAGAGGATAGTTGCTTTGCTTCAGCCATATTGGTCCGATGCAAGAGGTCAATAATATATTTGCCTTAACGTAAGTGAATTTTTTTTGTGTATTAGCCCAACATGGAAAAAAAAATGTTAGAAGAAAACAGGTCATTCATGTAGGTTGACCCAACCTGGATTGCGTGAATATTATTGGAGGGAGAAGTTGAGGAAGTTGAATTTGAATTTGAAACTCAACATCCCACAACTTACAACTCCCATATATAACTTCCACCCAAAAAAAAAACGAAAATATATATAGAATGCATATAAATTCATAAGGCAACATAGAGCGAAAAATACATGAGTATGGTGGCTTGATATTGGAAGTATATCATCTCCAAATTGGGGTTTGGATTATGGCTATTAAATTCCTTTCTTTGTGATCGAATTTCTGACCAAGGAGTGAACACAAACAAATGTTGAAGACAAGCAAAACAAAGTCAAGTGCCCTCGTTTTTGTGATTTCTAGTAAGTTTTACTATTTGAAATTTTGTTGAAGCATGAAAGCACGTTTTACAACATATAAAAAAATTTGTCTCCCCGACTCTTCCCCTTGTTCTCATATGCTAAAGTTCACAAAGGAAGTAGTCGTTTAAGATTAAAACACAAAAGTTTGAGCATTTATGTGCAATGACCTTGAAATCTTCACAAGTAATATGGGAAATTTCACTGTTAACTACTGAATTTTTACTTCGAAATCTTTTTTGACGGCCCTTTTTAGTGAAATATGTCAGAAATGAATTTTATTGATTAAAATATTCATCATTAAAAGTGAAATTTGTTATATTCTTATCACAAATCATGCTCTAACATCATTGTGGACATTAGTGTAGGGATTAAGAAATTAAATTTTAAATTTCTATTGGGCGTGCATGGTGTTGGCAGGGACGATCTTTTGCTTCTTCTTCTTTTTATTTTTTTTTATTTTTATTGTTATTTACTTTTTAATTTGAAATGAAGCGTACGCGTAATTTACCATTCAAGAAATGAGGCATGTGCAAGTCACTTGAACTTGCTACGAGCTTGGAACATTACGGACGATTCTTGCTAAAAATTTAAATTAGATGTTGATCCTAAAGGCGATGCAAGATTGAGATTTAATGGCACACGCAATCTCTAAGATTTCAACTGGATTTTGAGGCACCCAATTAACATTACAGACCAACTTCTAGGACGAATATACATCAGTAAATGGCTTCAATTTAATCCTGCAATTCAAACTTATCACTGCAAGCTAAATGGGAAAATTAAGCTAAGACAAATTTAAGCAAACTTTAATAATTCTTCCAAAGCTAACTGCATACGCCCTTTAAAATTAGTCTGCCGTCTGCTATTGTTTCAATTGGAGGGGACGTGGTAGTATTTTCCTTTACACATGCACCGGTAGATGACGGGACACGACTCGGTCGAGCACTTGTTGCTCACAATCACCCTCTTGCAAGGGACGCAGGCACCACATGCGTGCGAACAATCCGGCAGGCTCGACCCCGTCGGGTACAGTTCCATTCCCAGTCCGTCTCCCTTCGCTTCCTCCTGTCCAGTCACGTAAGGATATTTTATATAAATTGAAGGTAATAATCGACACAAATATTGAAAGGAACATGAGAATTTGTATACATAGCTTTTTGTTGTACGTCAACTAAGTTAAGATGAGAAAATTATTCTGTAAGTAAACAATGGACTTTTGGGGCATCGTTTGCATCAAGTACTCAACAATATTGTACAAGAAAATCGATAAATTTAACTTGTTTCTCTTGCTTAATACTATGAAACTCAATGTAATAAATTGTACTTATGGTACTTATGATCACTTAATTAAGATTAAACAATATAACGAACAAGATTTTAAGTTCTTTTTTGTTCTTCAATACGTACATTACTCTTATCGACTAATGCTATTTATACATCGTTGTGTATATAATGGTGTACAGATTAAGGTTTGAAAGAGAAAAAAAAGGCATGAAAGAAAAGAAATTCAGTTATTATAATCTTTCATGTCATCTATTTGTACATTATGTACATTCTCTTATATAATCCTCTGCATGGAACATGTCATAAATGTACTGTTAATGTTATTAATTAGGGTAACATACCTGAGGGAACATTTGTCTTTGGTGACCCTTGAAAGGACCTTCGCTTTGGTGGGCAACTAAAATTTTTTTGCAGGAAAAATCTAAACTTAGTAACAACATACAAATATATAAATAATTCCACTTTTAACAATGAAAATTTTTGTCTTGAAAAATCTCTCAACGATCCCTTTTGACGAAATAATTTTTCAACACAAAAATTTCCGTCCATAAGAACATGGGCGGATCCAGGGACGGGCTGGGCCGTACTACAGCCAGTCCCTTCGGCCCAAATGTCCATTAAAAAAAATTAAGTAAAATATATAATTTTTTTTATGTGCAATAATTTTTTTTATACGTATTAGCCCGTGTTGAATTTTTTTCAGGATCCGCATAAGAATGAAATTTCTTGTAGTACAAAAGGAATAAATGAAACTGAGAAATTTGCACTTACAATGATAAGGCCGAAGAGTGTTTCCAGTGGCAAGTATCAGCAAGAATACTGCAATTGACAGTGCTTTCTTCATTTGTTTCATTTCTTACAAAAAAGGGATTAATTCGATAAACACGAAAATATTACATTAAAAAGGGAAGTCAAAATACTAAAAACCATTGGAGTGAATGCAAGAAATGGGACAAGATTTATAACAAACTACATGGGGTGGGGTATTAAATATTAGTGTGGGATGTACACTGTCCACTTCACATGATACGCGGCCATCTTTTGAAAGAGTTTCACATGTTATAGTGAGCCACTCAAAATAATAAACCCTAGAAATAGAATAATATTTACATTTGTTAGACAAGGCAAAATCCTAGAGCACATAGGAAAGTTGAACATCATTATGAACGTCACGACATATTTCCTAGTTAGCAAGATAGAAAAATAATGCAAAAACTAAATTGAAAATTATCAATTATATATATATATATATATAGTTAAAAAAAGATACTCGCACACTGCATGAGCGAATATACAAGACACAGCATGAATGGATTGGATATTTCAACCGGAAAAATGGAAGAGGTATTGTTATAGGCCAAAAAATGAAAATTCAACTCCCGTTATAATCATCTAACAACCTTCGAGTTTAACCCATAAATCGCCCTATTGGCAATTGAAACTGATTGGCGTTTAACCCTTAACTCGTTGGTTAACGCCAAAATATTAATATTTTCAACCACCGGTTCGACCATTGACTCTTTACTTTTTCGAGTGAAACTTGTTTTCTAAACATTGCATGTAATGAATTTCACAATTAACGTGAACACACATTACGTGTTCTCTTTATTCAACTTTGTCAGATCATAAAACGGTGACGCATATTTAATGGAAGGAGTTATTGTAAGGAGAAGAATGGCTGTCATAAACGTGAAGATGATAGTTGGGATTAAATGAACTTTCTTTTCTTTACTTCTTGCCTTTATGGATAGTGATGTGTCCTCCCATGTTTCAAATTTTGAATACTTAAATAGAGTTTGAGAAAAATACGTCAGCAATGCATCTCGATGTAGGGATAAAAACATTGTTAGCCACGTAACTTACTGCAGGGTTGTTTTATTTTGGTAATCAAAATTTATTTTGCTGAATGAGGCATGGAAATTCCACTTTTATATTAGTTCAAGATCTGGAAGGAAGGAGACCCTTCACCTCATCCAATCTAAAAAGGAGGAAGCTAAAGCCAACATTGCCTTTTATATTTTTATTTTTATAATTTGTTGTTTAATCATCTACATTATGTAGTAGCTAGTTAAGTGTTAGAATTAGGGTATGGCATGAATTCTATTTGGAACGTTATTTAAAATACTATTTAAAGTCTATTTAGCGAATTCTAATTGAAGTTCTATTCGAAATCTCAATTGAAAGTTGAAATTTGTGTTGAACTTGAAGAGATCAAATTATGGATCGAGGAGAAAAGTCGTTGCAATTTCGCTAGCTTAGTGATCAAGTGACGTCGTCAAAATTTCAACAAAGACTTGGTGCCCACCTAGTGCTCGATCAAAGTAACTATCCAGCCTCGGTACGGGTTTGGACGTTCTCTATTTGTCCCCCCATAAATAGTTGGCTCTTAATTATGATTAAGACTAAGTTGGAAACATTGTAAACACAAATCTTAGTATTCTTTCTTTATGTTATAATAAAGTCTTCATTTTCTGAAAATTATATTATTCTTGTGTTTTTGTGATTTTTATTTCATATTGTGCTTATAATCTTGTATTTCTTCCAACAAATTGGTATTAAATTATTCCAGTTCCAATTTTCTATATATCAAATTGGTATTAGAGATTTTGGTTTTTCAATTCTTGGGAAGATTGATATTTTGATCAAGTTAAGAGCTCAACTTAATCCTTTGTGAAAGCAACTATAAAGTATAATATTCCATTATTAGATCGCAATATAATATTCTCTTTGTAGCAGGAAAAAATGTGAGTAATACTTGCTCAAATAGATTTGGAAGATGCGTTGTTAGGATTTGACAAGAAACCCACAACTTGGAATCCGAAGGAAAAACAACGGAGGGTTAGAAAGATTTTATCTCAAACACATCTTCATCTTTCAAATAATATTCTCCAGGATGTTTTAAAAGAGAAGTGAACCGCTACATTATGATTAAAATTGGAGTAAGTATGAATGATGAAGAGTCTTACTAGCAAATTGCATATGAAGCAACGCCTTTATTCTCATCGTATGACAAAAGGTATATCTCTTGAGGATCACCTAGCTACTTTTAAAGAAATCGTTGCTGATTTGGAGATCTTGAAGATCAAATATGATGAAGAAGAATTGAAATTGATTTTATTGCGTTAATTGCCCGCTTCACACGTCTTTTAGAGGCACCATTTTATATAGTCGTGAAACTCTCACTATCAAATAAGTCTATGATGCTCTATATTCAAAAGAGAATGTGGAGCATCTTGTTGCATCTGAGATTTATAGAGATGGCCTTATTATTGATGGTAGTCATGTAAGGAACAAATCAAAATCTAACTTCAAATTTTGTAATTATTGCAAGAAAAAAATGTACTCAGTAAACAATTGTTATAAATTGGAGAATAAAACAAAATAGACTACAAACCAACAAATAGAAACTTCACGGGAAGCAAGTATTACAGAAAATCCTAACAACGATAAAAAGCTTTTACTTATGTCTGACTACAACTGCAGATTTGACTAGATTTAAATTCTTGATACAGCTTGCACTTTTCATATATGTCCTAATCGGGATTTGTTTTCAATATAAGAAGAAGTTTCAAAATGTGTTGTGATGATCGATGATAATACACCTTGTCAGATAACTGGTATTGGTTGGGTCATAATAAAGATATTTGATGGAAAGGTTAGAACACCTGATGTAGTGAGACACATTCCATATCTGGATAGAACTCATCTCCTTAAGTATTCGTGATTCAAAAGGGTACAGGTACACTACTGAAGGTGGAGTCTTGAAGGTTAGTAAAGGAGTCGTATTTCATTAGACATAGAAAATTTCATTTATATATCTTGCATTGTTATATAGAATTTTTGAGCAATCGACACATTTTAAGAATTCAAGTGGATTTGGAGTTGTATTCTGTACCATTAGAGTCTAATTTAGGGTCTTGTTTAAAGAAAACATATCGGTTGAATTTAGAAATTATGGATAAATTCGCCTTACCATATTATCGGCTATTTCATTATATTTGGTTGCTAGTAACAAATCCATTTTTGGCTATAAGGCTCCACATAGGTACAATTTTGCCGCTTCAGTTGATGATTTGAATACGATTAATGGTGTTGATTCTAACGAAAATCCTTCTTTTGATGCATTCAATTGTGATTGTGTTACAACTTACTAGGCTTATATTCACTTTTTGCCCCTAGTTGGGGTGGCAAAGGTGGAGAATATTTCCAATTGAAAAATTTTTATAGAGAATTTTTGTTTGTGTTTTTTGGTGAAGAGTTGAAATTTATTCCTTGCAGTGAAATTTGTCTTAAGGTGGAGAATCTTTCAAGTTTGTTTATTATAGTGGAATTCGTGTTAAGGTGGACTTTGTTAACCAATTTGAGATGTTATTTGGAATCATGTTCGAAGTTTATTTGACAAATTCTAGTTGAAAGTCCAATTAGGAGTTGGAATTTATGTTAGACTTGAAGAGATCAAATTATGGATTAGGGAGAATAATTGTCGCAATTTTGCTAGCTGGCTGCTAGTTTGACGTTTGAGCGATGTCATCAAAATGTGAACAAAAAGTTAGCACCCACCTGACACTCAAGCAATGTAGTTATCCGACCCACGCCCATTTCGCTTTTTGACACATTTTAAGCATTCTTTTCTATATATAACTCTACTATAGAGTTTGAACATCCTCTATTTATGCCCCATTTTGTACTCATTTTTTTCAAAATACATTTTTCTCTCTTTTCTTTTCAGCCACACATTCTTTATTAAAATAATATTACATGTAAATAAAAAACCTTTTCTTATTTTTAACAACACATTTTCCAGCAATTTACTATTCTAAAATGCATTTTTACATGAAAATTGGTATCAAACACCCTCTTATTCTCTATAATTGGCTCTTCATTATAATTTAGATTAAGATTGAAATATTGTAAACCCAAAATCTTTGTATTCTTTCTCTATATTATAGTAAAATATCTATTCTCGGCAAATTACAATTTTTTTTTTTTTTTGTGATCTTTATTTCATATTTACTTATAATCTTGTGTTTCCTCCAACAAATTAGTGTTAGATTAATTTGGTTACAATTTTCTGCATAACATTAAGTTTTTCTTTTCTATATATAACTCTACTATAGAGTTTGAACATCCTCTATTTATGCCCCATTTTGTACTCATTTTTTTCAAAATACATTTTTCTCTCTTTTCTTTTCAGCCACACATTCTTTATTAAAATAATATTACACGTAAATAAAAAACTTTTTCTTATTTTTAACAACACATTTTTCAGCAATTTACTATTCTAAAATGCATTTTTACATGAAAATTGGTATCAAACACCCTCTTATTCTCTATAATTGGCTCTTCATTATAATTTAGATTAAGATTGAAATATTGTAAACCCAAAATCTTTGTATTCTTTCTCTATATTATAGTAAAATATCTATTCTCGGCAAATTAAAATTTTTTTTTTTTTGTGATCTTTATTTCATATTTACTTATAATCTTGTGTTTCCTCCAACAAATTAGTGTTGGATTAATTTGGTTACAATTTTCTGCATAACATTAAGTTTGGCTTGAGATGGTACATGTAAAATGTTAAAGTTTGTGATGATGCCCAGCTTTTGACGATTAGAGAATTTCCATCGATTTTTGTAGCTTTCTTATTTGGAAAATGCTGCTCTGCCAAGAGAAAATTACCAGACCGTGTATAGGCTCCTCTCAATGAGGTGGGCCCCAGGTCGGACCCGCATATAATAAAAAATTGCAATAAAAAATTTTGACCCACCAACTAAGAGAGGGCCTGTAGAACATCTGTAATCATCTGCCTTAGTAGTGTAGCATCTTCCTTCTTATTTAATAGAGAAGTGGTCATGGAGCTCTTCGAAGATGCCAATTTAGTACTAGTCGATCTAAATAACTTTTATCCACAAAGTTCTATTTAAAATTATGGCGGTAAGTTTCCCTGAATGGCCAGTGTCCATGCATGATGAGAATAGATTGATGAATACTGAAATGTTAACTACCATAAAAGGCTTATACTACTCTCCCTAACAAGATTGATTTCTTAAAAAAAAATAAGGTTTGACGCCTGATGCACGCTGGGAGAAGCTGAAACACCGTCAGAACCAAACGAGCTTTGATTATCCAAAACAGGCTTTTCTATGTCATCCAACTTGGATTCGGTACCATGAAAAGGGTTTTCAACTGTACCATCTGAAACCACGTCATTATTTTTCTTGACAAGTTCACTGATTCTAAGCTGAGCAAGACTAGCAGCAGAGCGGGCAGCAGCAGCTGCACGATCAGCACTATCAGCAGCTGCCTGAGCAGCAGCCAATACATCCTGTAAATCCACATTGTTCTCACTTTTGATCCCTACAACAGGGGGAGGTGCATTGCCTTGTCTCACAGGAACTGATGCAGAAGACGGTGATGGAGGAGATATGAATGGCACAAACTGTTTGTGTTCCACTGGACCCAATGAAATATCGGGGGATTCACGTTCTTTGCTAGCTGATTTCTCCAGCAACACTTCTGACTGACTTTTGTTATCTCCAGAAGGATCTGAATCTTCTTCGTAACTTTCAGATAGGGCAGATGCAGGAAAAGGAAGCATTTCTGGTGCCGATACAGTGCCTTTACTTGACTGTAATGGCTGCTTAGGAACTTCTGGAAAATCTAATATTTCAAAATCTGTATCAGAATCAGACAGTTTCTCTGTGTCTTGTTTGGATGCGGAATACAGTGGTTCGTCATGTTTCTCTCTGTTAAAGGGCAGCTTAGAACCGCTGACAAATTGTGTCGGACCGCTCTAGAAAGTAAGGCACGCACATCAGGTATGAAGATATGAATGGAGTTCAGGCAATGAGAAGTAATCTGTACCAGTAAGTCTTCATGTGGCTTCAGCAATTCACTTTCAGACGCACTTGGATCCCAGTCTAGCTCATGCTCTTCAGCAATGTCCTTGAGCAGCTTCAGTTTAACATCAGGAGTCGGAGCTCGAACAGATAATTGCTCCACCAACTACAAGTGTATAAAATGTCACAAGAAATAAAATCAAAATGTTTCAAATTCTGAATAAAGTCCCATAAGATGACAAATTATTCAACCTGGCGATTGACACCACATTCCGGCCTAAGCTCAGTTGCAGAAGAAACAAATTCTTTTCCATATTTGCCAGCAAACAGCATTTGAACCTGCATTAACTCTGTAAGATCGGCACACCTTGGTGCAGCAAAGCATACACTGGAAATTGCTTCTTTCAAGTCTAGAGGACACTCCCTGAATATTGTAGAGAACATTTACATTCAGATCATAGATCAAGTGGGTAAAGTTTGTTATACCTCAATGGCTCAGTCAGAGACGAATATATAGCAAAAGTAATAACGTAATCTATAATAAGAGTAGGAAAAAAAAAATTTCATATAACCACATCATTTGATAATCTGCATCATCAACTATTGATATAGGGAGAGAGGAAAGGGGCGATACAGAATCGAAAGACAGGAAAGCTTAAGGTAGTACCAAAAGCTTCAAAATCAATTTTATTGTATGTAGTCTAACCCCAGACAAGCTGAAGTGTTTGGTTACTTACTCCAATTCTATCTGGTTTTTCAGATGAATTTTGCAACCAAAAAGGGAAAGCAAACACAATATTTTCTATTTTTCTTTAATTTTTCCCCGATAACATTCTATACCATCAGAAATACCCAATTATAATTTTCACTAACTGACGAATTGCAGTTGAAGATTCCTATATTTCTAAACCTCTTACCAAAGCCATGGAGGTTAATATCATTGTCTCTAACCAAACAGCAATTACTGACAAGTGGCCACTCATTTACAAGCAAGGGTGGGTTAAATTTAATGTCCTGTTATATTAAATGAATAGATTAAAGATTGCATTATTGTCTACGTAACTAAAAATAAGTTTTAACCATCTTGTAGCTGGAGTCCAGAAAGACTATGAACATGAAAAATCAGGTCGAACTCAAATTTCTTTTCTATTGAGAGGCCAGGTAGAATTGATTTACAACCAGTGTAATCTAACTTCTAAGCTTTCCTAATCTATCGTTGACATTTCATGTCAGATTGAACAAAATAAAGGCAAACCAGACCAACAGTATCTCATCTCACAAACAATCTATCTGTATCAAGTTTTTAAGTCCCTGTTCATTACTACAGTGCTTTCATTGAAGAAATTTTCCTTCAGGAGAGAGGTATCCACAGGAAAGGAATAATTTGTTGAAATCAGGAAGCTTCAAGTAAGGGTACAAGTGCGAAAGGGTACGTCTGAAATCTAACTACAAGATGGTATAATATGCAGACACAAGTGATAAAACATCCGGGAAGCGAATATGCAGTACATATGCAGCAATACTTTTTATCCCTAAGCATTCAAAATTAGTTTTTCAATTCATAAATAATCATGCAGTGCCCATGCTGGATCCAGGATTCAAAATGGTTTTCTCACTTAAAATTCTATTCCTAAAATTTAGAAACTTGCCCACTCATTAGACTGAATTTTGAGAACTAACATTTTTTTCTCTAACAGAAAAGAAACGACTTCAATGCTATGTTGCTTAGACTCAGGTACACGTACATATCTAGGAGTTGGATCCTTGTTTTAAAAATAAAATAAAAATAAATAAAAGGTTATGAAGATACAGTTAAAAAGGATCCAAATTTTGGATACCGGTATGAGAATACATCTCACAGTCTTTTTTAATTAAAATTTATTTACTTGACTGATCATCACTTCAATGTATTCATATTTTCAATTCATCACATTTGTTTCCATCTAGGCAAGAGAAATCCTAAGAAGTTTGTCTAATTTGAATTAAATCTACTTTACACATTTTTCTTTCCTTGATATTTTTAATGTTAGAACTTAACGCAAAGATATCTTAACACAAATGCCACCTCTAAATCTAAAGATCTTACCAACATAAATCAAAGCCTATAAAATCAAATCTTAAAAAAGTAATTATTTATCAATTGAAAAATAGAAAGCTATAAAGATAAAAGATACAACATGTCAATCCATGTGCTTAAATAATCAAGGTTTGGGACAACTGACAGACAAATTTGTCCTTTGGCTGCAAGCAATTAAAAGATTTGGGACTATAGGTACCACAAATGAAAAAGTTGGCGGGTACAAACTACAACCAAGTGAAAGATTTGGGACCGAAGCTACAATTTTCCCTTATTTTGACATTTATTTCAACAAAATTATTTGTGAATTTTATTAAAGACAAAATTATTATGAACTATGAAGGAATATTTTATTCCCATTATTTAAATTTTCCATACAAAAGGTGCAATGGCATTCTTACATTTTTTCTCACAAACCATAGATCTTCAGAATTATATCTATCAAGAAAAATAAAAAATTGTGTACATTTGTATGCAGAGGTGAGAGGAGAAATGGCATTATTAGGAGACGACACAAAAATATTATCATTCATTAGATTTTTAAAGGATATTATCAATAGCTTATTGCAAACATCTTTTATCAAATACTTATCCGAGAGTAAGAATTTGTTGATGTTAGAAAATCCTTAACCACAATGTAAGTATGTTTTGTATGATGGACAATTAGGATGCTTACCATCACCAAACATTCTAATTTTCTCAATTTTCTTAAGAACTTCACCCGTGGGAAAGAGTAAAATGACTCCAAAAATGCTCACACATCCCAATAAAGGCCAGATAAAAGGAATAGCAAGATGGAATAGTCTCAAAATCATTGGGGAAAGAAAATTATAGGGAAGTTTCCACTGAACTGAAAAAAGAAACCTATGACGAAAAGGATAGCAGTTGGAACTTGGATATCTTCTCATTACTGATCTCTCCTAGTTTTTGGTTTTGCTACATAACAATTACCAGACCCTTATCTGTTTCTGCTCCCTCATCATTAAGCTAAAGAACTAGACCTCCAAATTGTCATTGAGTTTCTCAAATACCATCTCGGTTAAGAGGAAACAATGACTCCTGTTTCATATGTACATATATAGGTGAACCCTTGACATAATAATCATTGTTCGACTAGTGATAAGTGTGTTTTAGGTTTAGGGTTTATACACTTATCTGGACCATTAAATAAAATTAACTGTAATAAATTTTGAGGATTTATGACTTAATCAGATGTTAATATTGTTCATTAGGTAAAACTCGAGACGAATTGGCGGAATTGGAAGAAGTGAATGAAAAGGGGTAAAAACAAAAGAAATCCAAAATTCAAGGACCAAAATGTTAACACCCAAGAGTTGATTCGGACCATAAAATGATAACTGAAGATCACATATGATCAATTGGATGCAATGTGAAGTCAAATAAGTGAAATATAGCCAAAGCATTCTCACAAATCAATTTGCAGCAGAAAAGGTTATGCTCCAAATTTTTTGCCTCAACTTGAAACTCATTTTTCGGATAGCAAACATTCAAATTGGAGAAATACTATTTCTACAAGATTTGTAGCCCGCTGAGTTATCTTTCCAATGTATTTAAAATCACCTCAATTGGATATCGAGAAAGAAAATTACGACCAAAATACTAAAAAAAAATTACGGATTGGCCAATTCCCTTCCTTGATTCAAACTCTTATTGGCATCAACTTCAGAACGATATTTTGACCTAAATTCGACCATTAGAAATACAAAACTTATAGAGAAATATTGCAGAACTCTCTCTTGCCTCTTCATACACAAGAATAACATCAAATTCATCAAGAACAAGAAGATAATTCATTACTTTTGGGAGAGAAGATCAAACCCTAGCAAAGAATTGAAGCCAATTACATCAAGATTTTAAAGAATTCAACCATGGAATTGAAAATCAAGATTTTTTGCCTTCTTTCCTGATTCGGGGGATATGTTTCATTATTCTTCTTGTAATTTATTTAAAACCAAGCTAGACTAAATCTCTTTTTTGTATTGAATGAGATGAACCCTATTGTTTAGTTATTTTAAATTCAAGACTAGTAGTTTAGTTCAGTTCAATTTTTGCGTTTCTTGATTAATTTTACATACTAATTGCATTATTTAATTGATTGGACACCAATTAAATAATTAATTGCTTATTGCAGTGTTGAGAGACTTATAATAAGTTAAGAAACTGGCAAAATTAACATGTTTGCAATAAATGTTAGGAATAACATTTATCACTTGTACAATCATATAAATAATCTAAAATTTAATGCATTCTAATCATTCAAATTCGAGTCGTGCTTATGATATAATTAATTTATCTTGAAAAAGAAAGTTCAATACATTAGTTTTATTGCTTTTCAAAAATGCACAAAAGAGACTAGATTAAAAATAAAGAATTGCAACAGATAACAATAGGTGGATTCTAAATCCAATATAATCGTCCATAATTTGATACACAAATACTTTCTACTACTTTCTTAGATAATTTAGCATAAAAACAACATCAAAATATCTATTTTGTTTACATAATTCGAATCCCATAAGAAACTAGTAAGCTTGAATTAAATTCATTCCATATAGGACGATACTCTCGACTCTGTTAATCTATTACATGTCAACAATACCATAGGCTTGCAGAATTTTACAGAACAACAAGCAAAGTTACGACACAGATATTTCTATATCTTCCTCTTCCAAGATTAACTTGTACTTTGTTAAGACTTTAACATTAGTACATCCAGGGCCAGCCCTAGACCAAGGACAACTAGGCAATGGAAAAGGCCTCAACTTTTAAGGAGGCCTCAAACTAAACATAGAAATCTATAAAAAAAAAAATTAAAAAAAAATTAAAAAAAAAAAATTCCTGCAAATAGTAGTGTTGAAAGAGGCAAAGAATCTCTAGTGCACTATTAATTACTATGCAAAAATAGTTCTGGAAGAGGCAAAAAATCTCTGGCCTTGTGAACTACCTTCTCACTGATCTTACCATTTATAGCAAACTGAATTAATCAAAATTCAGATTCTAAATTAATGAAAACTGAGAACACAGAAAACAGAAGCATGGAATGTGCATTTATGTTTCATATGCTTACAATATTTAATTTCATTATCAATGTTACATTAAAGTTATATATCAATTTTAGTTCAGACTGGATATCAATTGGGGTTGGGGTTAGGGTTGGTGAGGTTGTTGAACTGGCTCTTCCAAGCAACAATTTTTGGATTTTGTTTTATCAACGTCGAGGCATCTGCCAGTTGTGATTAGAATCTTTAATTGCTTATAAAACAATGCTTCAAAAAGATCTTCAACTTAGATATGTATGTCACAAGAACAGATGGTATAAGTTATGGAAAACTGATGCTACAAAGTGAATTCTTTGGTTTGAGGGGCAACTTTGGAGTCCATTGACATTTCTCTATTTGCAGAGGCTAAAATATTTTGCAGACTAAAGACATTCATTTTGACAAACTGGTGGAGACTTCTTTGCATTGAGCTGGAATTGAACCTCACATTCTACATTAAGGGCCTCATAATAATGAGTGGCCTAGGGCTTCATAATTATCAGGGCCAGCCCTGAGTACATCTCACAAGAATTGATGAGCTCAAATCAAAAACTATGTCGAGAACGACTTAACCATGGAATAGCTATTAAAATGACGTGGTGGTGGACAAAATACCTTTGTGCTTCAATGATTGGAAGACGTACAACAATAAGCTCACAGAATAGTTCAATTATCTCCTGTGCTGCCATCATCTTCTCTTCTCTTATTATATGCTCAACCTAAATTACAATATAATTATAATCATTTTCTGCATGAAGACGAAGACTGCGTGTAAATCAAATAAGTTTATAAGAACAAAAGGAGCAGATTGATACTCGAATCCTAGCAGTGGCTTCTTGGCCGGTCTCAAGGAGCTTGGCAATTTCTCTACGCATTTGCTTTATTTGTATCTCTCTTCTGTTCCTCAGAAGCTTTATTCGTGGAATTGTCAGTTTCAACAGAGTTTTACTGTGTAACATTACAATTTTAAACAAAAAATAAAAAAACAAATCAATCAGACATACTATCCTCACTTCGATAATAAACACCCGTTTAATATTCCATAAATTTATAAAAATAAAAGATTAATGAACTAACGCCAAAAGCCCAATCAAATTTAATCGAGTATAGCAGCACATAAAATCGTCAATTAAAATTATACACTTGTCATCTCGAAAGTATCATGCTGATTTGATCGCGAGTCCAAAAATTTCCAACAGTTCTCCGCCAACTTATCCAATTGTGCATACTTATAAAAACCCTAGAAACGAAAACAAATTATGATTATAAATACAATAAGAAAAAATAGATTACCATTTCGCAGCTTTGAATCCTCCCTTATTCATAAAAGAATCCATCATCGACGAAGCGATTTTTTCTAATCACAGCCCGCGAATTGTACTAATTGACTATTAGATGGTGAAATTTATATAATTATTGAGAGAATTTGACGACTGTGGATATTAATATAAGATTTATGTTAGATTTAAAAATCAGATGATATTTTTCATCGAACAGGATTGTGCAAATATATAGATATATAGTTGTATTAAAAGCATGGCAGGTCCCCAACTTTTGAGAAAGGTTCATTTTAGTCACTTAACTAGTTTTTTAAACTCATAAATGCAGTTTCAATTCTGTTACCAATAAAGATTCTACCACAATTTAAGTGTTCTTTCCTATCCGGCAAGCGAATTTTCTTGCATCGACCTCTTGTTATGTTAGTTTGCAACATGGTGTGACAGCGACGTATACTTAAAGTTGGTGAAATTCAATTTTACTATAGCATAGTATGACATGTTATTAGAAATTTTCAGAACAATGTAATAGCACGAAATTTATACATGAAATTATTTTAGACATGAAAAATTGTAAGGTATATAATTATTGTCCACGTATAGAAATGTGTCTGTTACGTAAAATGAGGCACTAAATATTGTGATAAAATAGTTATTAGTGATCAAATTGAAATGAAATAAAACTTTTCGAAACACCAAAAAAAAAAAAAATAATAATAATAAATAAATAAATAAACAAGGTTGAATGATTGAAATGACTCTTTGTTCAAAGTTGAGTGGCTTCTATTATGTTATTTTTACAACCAAAATAAGGTACACCTGCTCCTCTATGGGAAGAAATGAGTACGTGCTTCCAAAGCTTGTACATTTTGTAGAATAGTAATATAATTTTGTTCAAACAATTGCAGGCTTATTAAAGTATTACCATTTTATTTAATCAACTCTTTACCAAATCACCTCTTGTAGGATACATCTAGATTACTTCTGGCATATCTGGAAACGATGATTAAATAGTTCGAAATTATACTAAAAAATAAAAATAAATTATTTACTATATTATTTGATTTTATCTAGTATGACATATGTAGTTAAAATTTGTCGAATATGAGTGATTAGAAATGTAAGACACTGATACCTAGGAGCTATCATGAATGCATTATCTACTCATTACTTAAAGAGGAAATTTCATTGGGTATCAAAAATTGGGTTTGCTTTATCAAAATTGTCACCTTATAAATTTGTTATCAAAAATATCAATTTATGACATTTTTGCCCCTCTAAAATATTAGAATACCAAACTTGTGTAATGTGTGTTGTGTCAGAATATGGCAGACGAGAGAAAATGCAATTGCAAACCTAATTTATCCAATTTTTACTTCTCCATTTCCCTCTCGTCTCTGCCTTTCACATCCGGACGCCCGCCGCCTCTGTCTCACTCACCGGCTATCTTATTTTCTGGCCAAATCGCTGTCATCGATCGTGGGGGAGATCGGTCGTCGTTGCTGCCTCGAGTCACCGGCTTTGAAGATTTTGGAAATCTGCGGTTTAGTTATTTCTTGCCGCCGACGGTCACCCACAGCCTCTCCGATATCTGCCACTGGCCCACTGCACCGTGTTTGTGACAATAGACTCCGTGAGTCCGTGACTCGTGAGCCTCCTGCCTCTCTCTCTCTCTCTCTATTTTCTGCAAAATTGGTTCAGTTCGTGAGCTCCTTCCTCGCATGTGAAGTTCTTTATTCTCTTTTAGTTTCGTGCTTCCTATATTATTGTCATTATTAATTGTTGATACTGTCACTTCCTTTCTGTATTATTATCTTGTTTAAGTTGATGCTTCTGTAGTTGTTAGGAGAGTGCTTCTTCTGGAGATAAGTGCGTTTATGTACAAACTTTCTGCTAACATTAGTATATTGAAAATTCCAAGTAGATCTTCATACGACGAATGAATAAAATAACAAAACTCGGGAGCATACGTTGTGTGATCAAACAATGTCCTCATTTCAGCTGTAAGTACGTGAGATGAAATCTAATGATGGCCACTTTGTTCAAATAATGGTCAAGATAGTGTTTATTCAGTTCAGCCTGGTTGTAGCATTTTGGCATTCTCATTGAACTCCAAGGATGAGTATAATCCTCAACAATTTAAGATGATAAAAATATTTTCTGGTCAATCAATATCTCAACTATCCAAGACTATAAGGAAATAAATAGCATATCCATATTTGTATCATACTGGTGGATTTAGAAGGATGAGATTATTAAGCTTTTCCTGGTGAAAAGTATCCCTATAAAAGAACAGCATAAGCTAATATTTGTCAAAATTAGAGGCCAGATGACAAATAACTTTGGAAGTATGGTTATAGATCCAGATTCAAGATGGCATGTACCTAGACAACAAGAGTAACCTTATCTTTTGAGAGTTCATTGATAACAGATTCCAAGGATGACACATATTCTGCAAGCCAGAAGGAAACTTTTAGCGTTGATAGTAGATATTTTTCTTTAATAGTGACACGACAACTAATTAAAATCTTATGGCAGAAAATACCATTCAAAGTGTAGTCAAAGCCATATTTGGGTTGAGGTTTATCTGAAAAGCCAAATCCTGTAAGAACAAGAATGCCAAGAGAATTTAATAACAATAGCTTTATCTAAGCTCATGCAGCAAAAAACTGTTTTAAACTGTTGTAACGGGACTTCAGGAATGACAGATCATTTATGCCACGAACAAGAAAGAATTTAGTGTAAAACATTACTCAAAACTGAAACATAACGGAAATACTTATTTTTGTTTGTGCGAATTACAAAAACTATGCAAATAACTGTAATTTCTAGTAAGAATAGTGAGCTTAAGCTTACCTAGCCAATCAAAAGCAATAGCATGATAATTCTTTGAGAGAATTGGTAGAACTTTGCGATAAGAATAAGCCTATAACAGAAAGATATAACTATTTTTTCAGGTACTACTCATCACGAAAATCTAAATAGACTGAAAAAGTTTCCTTAATGCTCTATTTGAAGGTACTACTCATCACGGAAATCTAAATAGACTGAAAAGGTTCCCTTAATGCTCTATTTGAAGCAGTGAAATCTAAGGTAAAATATACCAAAAAATTTAGAAGTGGATTACATTGTATCCTAGAGAAACTGAGAGGTCTGATATCTGAACTTGTAACTCAATGTTAACAGACCTCAGAGTACACCCATTTAGATATATTGGCAAGAAAATTTGGATTCAGTTGTAAGCTTTTATCAAATATCAGAAAAATTAAGATTTCAGTACCACTGTATAGTGAGAATATAACAATATTATCTTGTAGGATTTAAGTATGCTTTCATATCCAAATGAATAATTACGTGGCGGGAAGTTGTAAATTATGCAACAACTACCAAAGTAATAAGAAAGTTCGAATTATTCCCACTTTTCAACTGGACTAAGTATATGTGTGAAGGGACTACATTTATATCTTGTTTTCATTGATTGAAAGTAGCAAAAAAGCATAAGACTCACCTGTGAAGGGAAACCATGAATCAGTATGACTCGTGGATTTTCAGGGCTTCCACTTTGTACACAAAATCATCTATTGCACAAAATGAGCATGTTTCAATTCATAGCCCTGCAAATAATATGTCCTCAATATCTGAATAACATTGATTGCTAACCCATAACATTAAGGCCATGTTTGGTGCACAGTATTAGACCGGTCTAGAATAGATAAGATATAACTTTCATTCCTTCCGTTGTACTTCCTGGGACTCTACAATCCACCTTACCTAACATGTCATATTTGTTCTTGTAGTGCTTGTTGCTCCCAGAAACACAATCTTTAACAAAAGTCTCATTTGATTACCTAAAAAGATCAGATGTGGCATGTGAAGAACCACCCATTGCAAGTCCGAAGATTGGATCCTTTGCTTTCTCTCCTATGCCACCAACAGGATGGCCTTTCATCTGAACACAACATACCCATCAATCAACATCCAAATGAGCCTAACCCCTTTAAATTTTAAAAATTTTGGCAGAAAAATAAAGTCAATAAGTTGCAATTTTGTCTTCATCTCAAAATGAAGCCAAACAGAAGTCCAAATAGCATACTATCATTCCTTGCTTGAACCATTCATCAGCCGGGCTTGGTTCATCAGAATACTTCCCTGTCAAAAATTACACTTTAATTTCAGAAAAACCATTATTAAAATTTATTCATTTTCAATAAAACATAGTTAAAGCTGGCCGGGATGGGAGGGATCCGTATTATCAATCTTAGTTCCAACTTCCAAACCTCCACTGAAAGAGAACCTATCTCCAACTGAAACGGGAGCATCCAACAAATAATCCTATAACATTAATTAAACGTCAGAATCATAATGAAGAAAGAAACCTATTATTCAGAAATTTGTATCTACCTCATTAGAATTACTGCTTGATTGGCAACAGAATCGGTGGAGTTTCTTATTCTTGAAAAATGGGAGCTTTGATATGAGAGGGAGAGGGCGAGGGCGAATATTTACCGGAAATGCGAGTAGAGAATTGAATTGAAATGATGACGAGGAGAATGGGATTGCCATGGAAAGGATTCAAAGGAAGGAAAATGGTTTTCAAAAAAGAATGGCAGTTATGACAGTTGGTTTATAGGTAGAAATATGACATCTTGGATGAGATATATCGTTGAATTTGTACTGAGAATCTTAGAAAGTTGTATAATCTGCATACACATCAAATCAACGAAGTATACGAATTGGGAAGGAACATGTACTACCAGGATCCACAGCAAGCAGTTGTTGCTTGCTTCCTGAGCCTATACTTGGTGAACTCCCTTGGCTGAGAAGAAAGCTTAGAATTCGATTTAGGAAATTGAACAATTAGGGATTATGGTTTTGTGGAGTGTAGATTTCGGAAGTATAATTATCTTGGTGGTATTGACTAATGCAGTCCTCCTCTATGGAATTATAAAGTAATTTTAAATTTAAACTTGTCAATTTTTGGTCATTTTTGTCTCCAAGTTTTCATGTTCATTTTTTATTTGGTCACTGGATGTCAAACAATTTGTATGCTAAGGAGACAAGTCATAAGTAGAGAACACGTTACGGATCCTCTTTTTGAAGGGTTAAGGCAATGTTTTTCATTTACTGGGTTGTTATGCTATTCCATATCAACTTATATTGCTTTTTTTGAATTTGAAAGGGGAATACTTAATATGCTATCATGAAAAGATTCCCACCACTTCAAAGAGTTGATGGGAGAAATTGTTTATTTATTTATTTATTAATCATCAACTCATTCTCAGAGTGTTTTTAGGCTCCTCCAAAGGAGGATGATGTAGGTTAGGATCCCCAACCATAATATACACATGGGGGAAGGGGCAGAGGCCTGACCTCCAACAAAGCAGCAAAAATACATAAGAAAATAGATGAGGACGTATTACTTCTCTTACAATGAATGGTAAAGAAAGCAAAAGTAAACTATAGCCTAACACTAGGAATGCCATATTTGTCAAACCGACATAACTTTTGAATTTCAAAAGTTTTGAGTGTTTACAGTTGGAAATGTGAGTTGATTAATTTACATTTTGCAGGCACAGTGGCCAATGTGAAATTGACTTAGAAGAAGGCTCAAGGTGTTGCTGAGAAGAGGAAAGGAAGAAGAGGTCAGGGAATTGTGAGTCGTGAGTGCTCCGAGCTGTTTTGTGCTTCCTAATATTAGATATGTTTTGCTTACTACAGTTTTGTCTTGAATTGCTATTGTCTTAGTCAAAGCTGGTGTTTTGACTTAGCATATTTGCACGTTGTTGTCTTCAATTGATATTGTCTTGAATTGCTATTATCTTAGTCAGAGCTGGTGTTTTGTAGTCTGGACATGGCCGTTGAGGTGTACTTATCGTATTTGCACGTTGAGAACTGTATCATGCACTACTTCCAAAATGAATATAATGTTTTACACTATCACTCTCCATGCACAGACATGAAGTGTTAAATCACTTACCACCGAAGTGTCGTTCCCGACAGTTCGCGACAGAAAATCTCAACAGATGGAATAATCAACAGATGAACTGTCGTTCTCGACAGTTAGGCTCAGTAATTCTCGACAGATGAGCCTCTCCACCAATGAACTGTCGGGAACGATAGTTCATTTGTTCCCTACTTATGAAATTTGGTTCCGACAGTGCACGTAAGTTTCGCATTAAAAATACTGTTATGCTATGATGTCACGATTTTGTTCATTGATCTATCGTTGCAACATCGTACGTGTGTTTTGTATTACTGTTACTCAAACGTATGATCTCATGATTTGTTTAGTGGTGCCAACATTGCATGTGTGCTTTTGCTTTTGCATTAACATAATTGCAATGCTATGATCCGGACATTTGTTGATTGATTAGTCATTGCACCTTATTCGTTGAAATGTGGTTCTATTATTTCCGTCCCGACGTGTCGTGTGTCTTCAAATACTACCATCTGACGTATTAAATTTATGTTAAACTGCAGGAGGGTGCATGAATTTTGAATATCTGGTTCCAAATAATGCGCGGCTGAGGGCCCACATCTCACAGCGAAGCAATCTACAATACGTGAAGACAATGCTGGAGCATTTCAATGACCAGCAGCACACGAACTTCCGTAACTCATGCCTAGGGTTCTTAGCCGAGGTTCGAGATCTCCAATTCTCAGCCCAACTAATCCAGCAGCTCGTTTTTCGCTGCATACGAACTGAAAAGGCCAGCGAAGTATGGTTTAAAGTGCAATGCCTTTTAGCCAGGTTTGGCCTGCAAGAGTATGCTCTAGTCACGGGTTTAATGTGTGGTCCTCTTCCAGATGACGCCGCGATGGACCGAGTTCTACAAAAGAAGAGGTTCAAGAATAAATACTTCAAATCAACGGATAGGATTTCATGTGGCGAACTTGAGAAGGCATTTCTCCGGCCGTCGACGCCCCGAGCAGATTGGTACAAGCTCGAACTTGCTCTAATCATCGAAGGAGTGTTCAATGCTCCGGATAGCCATGCCAGTATTGAACTTCCCACGCTATCGATCGTGGACGATCTGGACATGTTCTATTCCTACCCTTGGGGTAGAGTATCGTACATTTGTCTAATAAGGGGCTTCCAACGCAAACTGGGACAAAGATTTGTTGATGCCACAAATAAGAAGGAGAAGGCGGTTACTTATACAGTTCACGGCTTCCCCATTGCCATGCAGGTACTACACACAGATTTTGTACAACGTATTCATTATTTCATCAGAAATGTATTGTCATTGGTTCCTTTAATGTTCAACTCACAGTTACTATCTGCTGTAACAGATCTGGGCATTCGAGGCAATGCCGGAAATTGGGGATAGGTTTGCTCGGCGATTGGGTCATCAATCCCCACGGCTTCTGAGTTGGACGTGTACCAAACAGCCACAGCAATAGATGTATGATGCATTCTTCAAGAACATTAAGGTATTGGATTGCGTTTCATGCACGCGATCTGCACGTGTCGTTACTCGTTACATTTTCGATGGCACTCAGTTCCTTTATGTTGCAGCTGCACGTGTCCGCGACGCTTCATCCCACCGAAGCCGAGCTTGGGCAACCATGTATCTCCACCCTCCTAACGTTTGAAGACCGTACTGTACCTGCGTTGGACGAGGTTGCATGGGACATTATCCCTGTACAGCTTGACCCAGATCCTTTGCCCAGTGGGGGGAATGTTGGAAACTCGAGGGGGGAGTGCGCAATGGTTTCCAGTGGAGGAGGCTCCGAGGACGATGATGAGTCGGGCAACAGTGAGGACGAGGGAGCCCGTGAGGAGACCGGAGGTGATAAGAGTGGAGACAGCAATGGAGAGGCCTCGGACGAGGGGGACAGTGGGGACAATGAGGATGACCACACTCGTACACCACAGACTGGGACATATTCCTCCCCCCCCATGCACAGCCGTACTTCTCCCATTCATGCACCCTCCACATCTCATGTACGACAAGGTCAAACCTCTGGTGCGAGCCTCACGAGAGATGAGGTGGAGGAACTATTGCTCGATCAAAGAACGCTCATCGAAATTCACCTGCGAACAGTGAAGCTTGAGATCATGCATCATGTGACCGATGAATTTGTGAAGGTCAGGGACTTCATTTCTACCCTCGTCCCCCCAGCTCCCTCTAGAAATACCCTACCTACGGCTCAGGCGGCAAACGAGCCCACAGTTTTAGCTACTTCAGTGCATGGTATGTGTACTGCATTTAAATTGTTATCTACTATATGTTACATATGTTTGCTGACATTAAGTATACATGGGATTTGTAACTTAGACGGAAATGGAGACGAGATCGACCCTGTCCCAGAATGTGTGGAACCGCAAAGTATGTGCATCAATTACTATGGATACATTTTCATCTCTTCTTTACTGTTTGCTGACATTGGTATTCATGCGTAGATGGAGCCGGCATGGAATCCGAACTAGCACTGAACGGTAACGACGGTGACGTAGCTTCCAGTGGTTCGGGGAAACGTGAGGACGACGGTGTTGCGTCCCCTACTGGCGTAGCGAAGGCGGATGGTACGTACACTACGGTGGATTACTTCTATTTCACTGCTTAGAGTAACGCATAATATTTGGAT